TGCATGCGAAAGGTCCTGAGTTCAGTCCCTGGGATCTCCAAATAGAGCTGGAAAAGACTTCCAGCCAAAAGCCCAGAGCCACACTGCCCATCAGTGTAGATATTCCTGAGCTGGATGGATCAAGGGTCTGGCTTGGTATAAGGCAGGCTTTTACCACCCTATTAGCAGCTGACAACAGAAGTACCTAACTTTATCCATTCCTGTGAAAGGACAGATATACAGTGCAGGAATGCCTGAGAACCACATGTGCACCCACTTGCTGGCATGACCAATAACACAAGAGTTTGATTAGCAACCACCTGCCAAAGGGACATCATGCTAGCCAAAAGCCCACCCAAGCGGATTAAGAGGAGCAATAAGGACAACTGGAGAAGGGGTTGTCTGGCTTTCCCTCTTCAAAGCGAAATCTGAGCTGCAAAGATTGAGAACTCAAATAGTCCTCCATCTCGGGGGGGGGGTGTCAGTTTCTCTTACCAAGTATTTACCATCCGATGAAATAGCCATGGAGAGGATGTGTGCTGTGTGGCCAACATGACTGTCCTTTGTCCCCTTCTTTCCTCTGCGGATCACATGCACCTTCTTCCCACTCTCCACATCCCCTAAGATACAACAACGGCTAAAATGAGTTGGACAAGAAGGCTGATACCACACAGTCAATTTCAAGGAGTTGAGTTCTGCAGTCCATGGTTGAGGAGGCAAAACGTGGAGATTTCCTTTTGAAATAAGGTGCCTTCTAACAGTAGTTAAAGAGAAATTAGCAGAGATCACACAGGGAGGAGATGGTGAAATTTAAAACAACAGCACAGGGTTGTATACTGCTAAGTTCAACTCAACACTCAGTCTTAACACTATGTCATTTTGTATAGAATAAGACTCACATTTGATGATTGAGCAGTCTTTGGCTGCAGAGAAGATGTATTTATCATCTGGTGTGATGACCAAACAGGTGATGGGGAGCTGGTGACCTCGCAGAACCCTGATTTCAGATGCGTCTGGAGGCTGCAACTGTTCAAAGAGTACCAGTAAGAGCGATATTTGAGGCTGCATCACAAATAATTTCATGCCCAGAGATAAAACTTTAACTGCTTTGCAGTACGCAAAGGAAACATTCCATTCCACTGACTCTGCAAACTTTATGTCTCCTATTTCCATATTAGATAAACAGAATAGTAGCACTAAATGCTCTTATTTAATACCAAGCCAGATTTGTTATGTAAAACTGGAGCACTGAGCCACCAAAATAACCAACTTCTTTGAAAACTAACTTGAAACGATCAGAATTTGGAAACTGCACAGTTTCTGGCAGAACTATTCCATGAACATTACAACAGCCAAGGAGAAGAGAACAATTTTCATTTAAAAGCCGATGACTAAATCTCCAAGAAATCTCAAGTAGTAGAAGAAAGAGTGTCATGTGTAATCCGGTAAATTAATACGCCACCTCTCCTTCAAGTAACAGAGCTATAGCTGCTCTGAAATCATGCAGCAAAAAGGCTCAAGGGATTCTGTATCTACTTACGATTTTGGCAATTTGTCGCTGCAATTTTCCTTTCTGTTCGAGCTATGGGAGAAAAGTAAAATAAAATTGGATGGAACAGAATCCTCTCTCCCCCTTCCCAAAACCAAGTAGTTTTAACAATGTGCAAGCAACACTACTCAGAATTAACAAAACTGTCTTATCTTTTATTTTTAAAAAACCTTATGTTTCCAGCTCTCATGAGTGTGGAAATAAGTATTAGAGGACTGTAGTTACAAATATGCTTTAAGATAGGGGTGGGAAACTGCATGTGTATGTGTGTACACATACACACCAATAACAACAGCCCTTGCTGTTCATTTCCACTTGCTGTTTGAAAGGCAAGCATGGGTAGGCAGAGATGGACTGCTGATTTTCCTCCTTACCAACCAGCTTCTTGCTATCATGTGGAAGAGGGCCTGTTGAAATGGCCAAGCCCCCAGTCAGCAGCTACAACATGAAAGGAATTTTCTTTTACTCTTTAATGAAAATACCCCATTAAAGCTTACTCATTAGGTGAGAAAATCTGGCTCTCCTCTGCCCTTCTGAAGCCCAGCACCTTTTTACCAAGTACAGTATCCTACTCACCACATCTTCCTTCAGCCGGCCAGCAACCAGGTCCTTCTCAAAGGCCTCTTCTTCAGCTTTTTCCTCTTCTGCTCAGGGAAACACATACAAACAGGGCATAAGACCCAAGGCTTCAAAGAGTGAATGTCATTGAACATGTGAATGTCTTGATGTACATGTGTGTTTCTGTTCCTCCCTGATTCACCCATGAAAACTATGGGAAAGAATTGCCGTGGCTGGAAAACCATGCTAAATTTCATCAAATAGTGTGAAGCGTGACAAACAGTGGGTAAATTACAACACAAACTATTTTTTTCTGGAAGCAATTAGCATTGAAATCAGCATGAAACTTCCACTACATTCTGTTAGATTTCCAGATCACGTAACACACAGCAATTACGAAGTAAAGAAACGTTGCGAAAATGTAATAAAGTGCTGCCTGAATGCAACCCATAACTCCTACCATCGCCAGCCACTGACTAAACTAGTTGGGGATGACAGGAGTTCAGTCCAGCAGCCCAAGATTTGAAGAATACTGTCCTAGAACAGCCATTTGTCAAGGTACTAGGGGTCAATTTGTACATATCCCACAAATGCATGGCTGCCACTTGAAATTGCTGGGTGTACCAGTTTTCTGGCAAAAGCTGACTTATCAGATAAAGCGGCTGTGGCAAAGAGAATCAGAGTTGTTTGTTTGCATAACCACAGGAATCGACCCCAAACACAGGACATTCCAGACACTTTGAGGAGAACAAGTACCCCAAACCAATCTGCCTTCCCAACACACTTTTTTAAAAAATTGCTTCTCTTAAGCAGATTCTAAAAGTCAAACAGTTGAGATATGTCAGCAACCTAAGCTATACTGTCTCAGTAAATTTCTGCAATCATTTCCTCTACATCAATTTTCTCATAGGAGCTTTCACCCTTCATTCCAGATTCTCTTACTTTTTAAAACCATCTTGGTTGATATTTTATAATACTTCACAGAGTTTGCAGTCATGTTATATCACAACATATCCAACATCTCACCTTGCTGTCGAAGCTGCTCCAGATATAACTTTGCTAATCTTAGTTTCTTTTCTTGTGCTGTCTCCTCAATTTCATCTGCTGCTTCATTGTTCTTTTTTCTTGCTGGGCTACAGGTGGGAAAGATACAACCCATAAGGCTTTCTCTCTTACAATCATCCATTAGCTAGAAATAACATTCTCACAATCTCAGAGGAGACTTCAGTTCTCCCACAGTGTCCCCTAAGGCAGTGTTTTTCAACCACTGTTCCGCGGCACACTAGTGTGCCGCGAGATGTTGCCTGGTGTGCCATGGGGAAAATTGAAAAATTTGATATATATTTTTTTTAAATGTCAAATTTTCGCCCACAGGCGGTCCGCTCTCATCCGATTCCCCATAGAGAGCAGCGGGGCTCTGACATCTCCCTCTCTGCACACAGTGGTGGTGTGCCTCGTGATTTTTTTTCATGAAACAAGTGTGCCTTTGCCCAAAAAAGGTTGAAAAACACTGCCCTAAGGGTCAAGAAAGGGTTGTGTTCCAAGGATCCCTGCTAGCTGCACTGCAAACTATTACACAAATGTCTAGACCTATGCAAGAACATAACAGCCTGCTTTGCAGCAAGGAGAACACAATTTTCTCACCCAACTCTCTTACTATCTTACCCCCCTTAGGGAGGGGATTCATACCAAGTCTGGTTCTCTGAATTCATTTTTCTGAGAACATGCATCTTTATTCAAGATCATGCATCTTTCCTTCTAAGCTACAGAGGGAGACCAATGCATATCCTTACGTGTCTGGTTCGGAATCACTGGAAATCTCCTCATTCAGCTTAGAGCCAGCTTTCTGCCACGCTTTCTCATCGCCAACAGGGAGCTAGGAAGTAAAACAATCATTTCAGAAAACAATTGCAAGTCTACTAAGATGAAGCATTGCTATACATTATTGAGGAACAGGAGTTTTAAGTGGTAAAGATGGTCAATGACTAGTAGCTGGAGAACTGACTAATTGTGCAACCAAAACCCATTCTACATGCAAAATTCTCTCTCTGGATTCTCATAACTACCAAAGTACGGGTATGAAATACAAAGCTAATGGTAAGTTCTTAAACGACAGAATCATGACCCCTACTGCTTATTTAACAAGTAATTTAAGCCTGCGAGGCACCCTCAAGTACCGCTTGAGGCCGCTAGTGAAAAGAGCAACATGCTCGACTGAAACCAGTGAACTTCCTCGCGAGTAAACTTGCTAAGGCTCGCTGCACAGTTGCCGGTGCTCATTCCACCCTATTCCTTACTGTTTCGGAAAAAAGCACGTGGCGCTACCCACACCACCCTCCTCACCCTCGGTCTCTGCCCCCGTGAGAATAACTTTGCTTAGGGCAGTGGAGGGGGGACCCCTTAAACGAGCCCGACGGCCAAAAGGGGAGAGCGGGTCGCCAAGTAATTCAGCCACGCGGCGCCCCGGGTGGGGGGCTCGGCCGCTCTCCCCTCCCCCTCCCCCCACTTACCGCACTCCCCACTGACCTTGCGCTTCTTGCGCGCTGCGCCCCCCGCCGTTGAGCCCGAAGCGGAAGCTCCGCGCTGCCTCTGCTGCTTTCTCTTCATCCCCGCCGCCGCCATGCCGCTCCCGGAGCTGCTGCTACTTCACCGCAGCGCACTTCCTGCACGCGGCTCGCCAAGCCAACCCCCTCGGCGCTTTCCTATTGGGCGGAAACGCCTCCAGCCTTTCATCATTGGCTGAGATTCCTCCCGAGACCCCGGAGGAAGGAAGGCTGAGACGGGTGGGTTGGCAGCGTCACGCCTCCTTCCGCTGGGTTCGTTTTCATTGGTCCGTAGAGTCAGCTACCTGCCTTCTTTAATGGTCCGCTAAGCCGCTCGTCTTGCTGTGGAAGCGGGGGACTGGGCAAGCGCGGTGCGCTCCCCTTTGCTCAGTAGGTGGGGAACTCCGCACAGGCAGGGCAAGCGCAGCTTCTGCATTGAGCTTCGCGCACCAGTTGGGGGCGGGCTTGGAGCGGCAGCAGCGGGGGAGCAATTCCCGCGGGGACCGGTGCGCTTGCACCTTTGCATGCCCGGACTTTGGGGAGGCTTATGGAAGAGGAGGGACGAGAGGTGGGAAGGCGGCGGCGCTGGGAGGCGCAAGAGGCCAGCTGGCGGAGTGGGTGGGGACGTGGCTTAGCCCTTGGAATGCGCAGGGCGGGAGCTATGCAAAGCCGGGGGAGCCAAGAGGCCGCAGATTGCCCGTGCTGCTTGCTAGTTTGCACGGGATGACATGAATCAAGAGTTTCCCCTTCTGGGAGCCCTTGTTTTCAGGGACACGCACCACCCTCACTAATCCCTGGTGCTCTTATCTCTGTTCATTTATGCATGGGAGATGGGGGGGGTTTAATTCAATAAAAACATTTTAATTTAGTGCCCAAACAAGTGAGTAGATGCAGAAGAAGTTGCTTGCTCTCTTCTGCGCCCCTTTTGCGGGCCTGGCTGGTCCGGCTGTTCTAGCACGCGTTGATGGACAGCTCGGCGTGCAGCCGGGCTCTGCTGCTCAGCCCCTTCCTTGCCTCTGCGCTGGGCTGGCTCCTTCCCCGGGAGGCGTGTTGCTGCAGCCGCTGATCGAAAGCTGAGGTCACTAGGGGGGAGGAGGGGACGGCAAGCGAGGAAGAGGGAAAGCCCAAGCGGCAGATCTCGCCCTCCGACTTGCCCAAACTTGCCCTACCGCTTTGCCTGGCTTCTTTCTGCCGGCCCTCCGCGTCTAGGAGGACCACCGGGCTACCAAGAGCCGGTGCACCACCCACCCACACCGCGGTGAGTTTTGCTACTCTGGGCAGGCGGGAGGTGGGGTGGGGTTTGAGAAGTAAATAGCTGGGTGGAGGCGACTGGCCTTTTATCTTGTTTCTCTGATTCGTTCCCAAAGCGACAGTCGGGGAACGTGGAAAGAATCCGTAGCTGTCTATACTGGATCTGATTTCTTCGAATTAGAGAGAGGTGCAGTGTCCCAAAACAACGTAGAGCCTCTGTATCTTGATAACGGGGCACTGCGGATTCCTTTTAATCCGGGCTGGAACCTCCGCTGTAGTTGCGCCCTCGCTGGCGCTGATCCTAAGCGAGTACTTAACAGGGCTGTGCGCTTTTTGCTTTGACCCTCCTCCGCAAGTTAATGGGTTGCTACCCACTTTTTAAGGGGGCAAATCCCCACATAGCATCCTTTGAGTGTAAACGCCTATCTGGTAAATTGGGGAAAGTGCTGATTCTTGCCACCTTGGCCTTCAGGGAGAAGGACAGGAGAGAAATAAAGTAAGTAAATTATTCCCCACACACATTATGTTCCACATTATTAATACAGCCGTACAGTATTGGTGGGCCAACAAAAATTCTTGCATGGCTTGGAACCTTTGGCGAAATTATTTGCAAGTCTTCCAAAAGTTGCGCAGTTCGGAGACAACCTGTGAAAGCAGCCAGTGGGCTGCTCATCTGTAGCATGATGCCAATATTGGCTCTTAATTGCCCCAGCCCCCCCCAAAAGACCATTTGCGCTTTTCATTTGTGCATCAAGAGTGCATACTTTCCATCATCAGAGTATGTATGCTATACATTTTGCATGCAGCAGGCTATGGATGATTGCTTACATGACTCAGAAGGTTTTTTCTCTCTGGTAAGATTTGATGGTTTTTTGTTTTTTAAATCTTTGCTTTGTGTGGTTTGGCTTGCTTGTTTGAGTATGCTATTTATTCAGCAAGCCCCTTTCTGGACCAGAACTGTTGAGCTTGCTGTATGCTGTCAGCTGAGTGGGGTACCCCAGCGAGATAATAATAAATATTATTATTGTGTAGACTGGTTTTACGGAGTCGGGAGGTGCAGATAACAAACAACCCTGTTCTGAGGCAGCTATTTCTCTCAATTTTAAGATGTTAACTAATACTAAAGAACAGGATTTTCTACTAGATTTGCACTAAATTCCTCAGTTCAAGGTACAAATCCCTTTCTTAATTCAAGCAGGAGGAGGATACTAGCATGAAGGCAAAGGAAGGTGCCTCTGCCTCTTCATTAATATAGGTAGCAAAGCATAGAGGCAAGTCCAGTGATCCTGAAAGATAAGAACATTTGCATAATATTGATCTGTTTACTTCTGTTATTTGGTATCTGTTGGTTTTGTAGTGAAACTAGTGAATGTACACATGGTTGAGTCCTAGCAGACTGTCTCCCGGAACACAATACAGTATGTAGATAGGCAGAGCCCTGGAGCACTGGCAGACTTTGAGCAGTTTATTACTCAAATAATTTTGTTCTGAGTTCAAAGAGCACTAGTGCGTCTGCTTGCTGGATATCATACATCCATCTGTTGTTAGCTGGTCTTATGTTTCTGCCTCCAACCATGCTACATAGCAATGATGTTACATTTCAAAACCTTGCATCACTGTACCTGGCTTTTAGAAAACTTGTTTGTTTATTCCCCCGTCTTGTGGCTAAGCTCCCCACAGACCAATTGATGAGGGTCTGGGCAGACCATTTATGTTTTTCCTAACTGTTGTAGCAATTGTGATGCGCTGAGTTAGATGCTATATGGCTGTTTTTATTATTATTGCATTTTATTGTATTACAATTTGAATTTTGTAGAATTCAAATTGTAACATAATAAAACGTAAGAAATAAAACAGCTGCCAAAACATAGTTAAAAATCAATGTGAATATTTAGTGAGGTAGACGTGTTGTTTCTCTCATCATTAGCCACCAATTCATAGATGCTCCATGGACCACCTGACTGAAGCCCATGGACTATAGTTTGGGAATTCCTCACTCGGTCCCTGCGCATGCTTTCTTGATGCCATCTGATCCCATCCACCATCTCACCTGCTATTCTCTCTCACCTCCACCAGATAATCAGTCTGTTTCTTGGACTCCTTCCTCTGCTGTGTTCAAGCATTATCTCACCTGTTCTCAAACAGCATCCGTTGGCTCACTTTTCCTCTCCAACTCTTACCTTCTGGCTATAATGCTTGCAAAATCCTTTATATTGTATGCAAGTATACTGTTTCTAAGGCCTAGAAAAGACAATTTCCTCTTGTGCAGTAAAGCTGTGACTTGTTAGTGAAAGCTGTGCACTGTTATTGAAACAGCATAACCGTGCACTTTCAGTTGTGACTCATTAGGAAAATATTCTGCTGCCATTGACTGCCAGTCAGCTGTATGCAAGTTAAAAGTTGGCTCCTTGCCTGTTCCTGGCATTGGATTAGCAAATCAGAATTTAAAACGCTTGGAGTAGCTGACAAACCTACAGGTGATGGGAAGCATAATAAGGTCCAGCCAAAGGTTCCAGATTTCCCAAGGCTGATTTATTAACAGATTGATAGTTAAAAACCTAAAAGGAAGATCTGCTGTCAAAGGAATAAAGGTCTGAACTAACAGGGTGATTAGGAAGGAGAGGGCTTGGGGCTGAGTCAGCTATGAAACCGGCATTTGGCTCTGATAGTTGTCGTATGGCTGTTTGCCTAGGGTGTGGCCCTGTGGGCCTAGGACTAAAGACATCTCTGTGGCACAATGGGTCAGTGCACCTGGCTGTTAACCCAAAGGTTTGCATTTCCCTCCTCAGTGTTAGATTAGAATGCTGCTGCTGTTTCATACATAATCAATTTGCATGTTGAGCTTGTACATTTACATAATATTCTATGGCTGCGCACACACCATACATTTGAAGCGTGCGCACACCCCACACAGAGAATCCTGGGAACTGTAGTTTATCCCTCACAGAGTTGCAATTCCCAGAGCTATGGTTCCCAGGATTTTTTAGGGGAAAGGTATGTGCTTTAAATATGCTTTGCCCGTATGGTATGTACACAGCCTATATCAGGGGTCAGCAAACTTTTTCAGTCCACTGTCCCTCAGAACTTGTGGGGTGCCGGACTATATTTTTTTGGGGGGGGGGAATGAATGAATTCCTATGCCCCACAAATAACTCAGAGATGCATTTTAAATAATAACCCACATTCTGCTCATGTAAAAACACCAGGCAGGCCCCACAAATAACCCAGAGATGCATTTTAAATAAAAGAGCACATTCTACTCATGTAAAAACACACTGATTCCCAGACCACCCGCGGGCAGGATTTAGATGGCAGTTGGGCCGGATCTGGCCCCCAGGCCTTAGTTTGCCTACCATGGCTTATATCTATATGCAGGCTTTGCTAGATCTGAGCAGAGTGCACAGCCATATGTGGGAATGTCACCCAAATCTGGCAGGAAAGAAAAGCAGAAGTCTTTGGAGCTACATTATGCCAGCAGGAGCACACCTTGGGGTCTTGGCTGTTGTAATGCCCAGCGGTGTGCTGTTGCCGCTAAGTCAATCTTTCAGAAAGTCTGTGTTTTGCCAGAGTTTTATAGAAGAGCCTGATCTGTCGGCAGAAGGGAACTACTGTATTTTTCACCCTATAGGACGCACTTTTTCCCCTCCAAAAATGAAGGGAAAATGTGTGTGCGTCCTATGGGGCGAATGCCGGCTTTCGCTGAAGCCTGGAGAGTGAGAGGCATCGGTGCCCACCGACCCCTCTCGCTCTCCAGGCTTCAGGAAGCTATCCGCAAGCCTTGCGTGCCCGGGGGGAGTTCCCGCGGGCTCGCAAGGCTTGCGGGCGGCAGCCCGGAGCACGGGGGGCGCCCGGAGCACGGGGCGCAGGTGTCGGCAAGCCTTGCAAGCCCGGCGGGAGTAGCCGCCGGGCTCGCAAGGCTTGCAGATAGCATCCTGTTCTGGGGTCGGGGGAAGCTCCGGCTTCCCCCGCCCCAGCCCCGCGGCTGGGGGGGGGAATATATTTTTTTTTATTCATTTCCCCCCAAAAAACAAGGTGCGTCCTATGGGCCAATGCGTCCTATAGGGCGAAAAATACGGTACTCCAGTATTCCTTTATAAAATTTATTTAATGGTAATGCTTGAAGTAGACAAGTCCTCTCCCTGTTCTCACTTAAACGAAATCACAGAGAAGGTCAGTGTGGGTCATTTAGGGACTGGTACTTCTAGTGACCTCCTGAGTCAAGAATTAACTGGCCTCCCTTTTTTTTTTTTGCAGTTGAATAAGAGCAGCAGCCTGACTCCTTTGGGAAACAGGGTTAGGCTCTGAAGGGAACGATGCCGCCAAAGCGCAAGGCCCCTGCCCAAACCAGGGCAGCAGTCAAGGGCAAGAAAGTGAAACAGGAGCCAGAGCTAAAGGCTGAACCTGAAGAAGACAGTTTCCGCTCCACTGTGGAGGCACTGAAGGCAGCTCCCAAAGAGAAGCTCAAGGCCAAAATTGATTCTGCCTGTCAGCTGAGCGACGTTGATAACGCCAAGGTGAAAACAAAGCTCTGGCTGAAGTGTTCCCTATGCCCAGCATCCATTGGGGGGTGGGGAAGGGGTTATTCCCACTTTCAGCTGGCCCTGCAATGGGATAGTGTAGCATAATGGGAGTCCTCCTGTCTCTTGTGGGCACCTGTGGTGGGGCAGTGAAGGTCAAAGTTCACACTGAATCTTGAGGCTTCTCTCTTTTCCTGAAGCTTTTTTTTTTTTTTTTTTGCCTTCCTTTAGCAGGGCAGCCAGGGCTGCATGTCCCAAGTCAGGCATAGGCAAACTCGGCCCTCCAGATGTTTTGAGACTACAGTTCCCATCATCCCTGACCACTGGTCCTGCTAGCTAGAGATCATGGGAGTTGTAGGCCAAAAACATCTGGAGGGCCGAGTTTGCCTTTGCCTGTCCCAAGTAGAGGAGGGGGGAAATTAATGAAACCAAAACTTGTCCCTGCCCCGCCCCACCAGAGCCTTTTTAGGATTGGACAGTGTTCTGTCCTTCAAGACCCCTTCTGCCCATTTGTCTTCTGCATAGATCTTTTAGCAAAAACTACTAATCAAGGTGGGGATGCCATTGGGAGAGTCCAGCCAGACTTGGAATTTATCCTCTTGAATTCCGACCTAGACTTTATTAGCACTTGGTATTTGTTAGTTCTTGCAATACTCTTTAAGTGCCAGGCTCTGATTGTCCTCCCGTTTTGCCAGATGTCAATCACAGGCTGGAATTTAGCCACACAGAGGTTGCTATGGGTCTCTTAGGGGCGTTCATGTTGCCTGTTACGATTTTAGATTCACGAGGACTACGACTGCATGCTGAACCAGACCAACATTGGCCACAATAACAACAAGTTCTACATCATCCAGCTCATAGAACAGAATGGGAAGTACAGCTGTTGGAACCGCTGGGGCCGTGTGGTGAGTAGCTTGCCCTCAGGATGGCCCCTGCAGTTGTTCTTTTCTCAAAAATCTGTGGGGGTGGGGGTCTTCATCTCTGAGACTGACACAAATAATTATATACAGCTGTAGATAGTGATGCCTAGCACTGGAATAAAGGGGGAAAGATAGCCCAGACTCTAGCCAATTTAAAAGAAAGCTTTAACTCTTCCAGCAATGTTTCCTGAATGACAGTTTGCAGAGCCATAACACGTCCAGACCCTGTGTTCCTAGCCATATTTATTGCTTAATATTCCCCAGGTTGGTTAAAAGATGCGAGGTGGCAGGCCTAGCATTAAGAAAGTCTGGAAAATACCATTCCTCATTGACCATTGAAACACGGGAGCGAGTGAGTCAAGAAAGTCGAATGAGCAGGAGTTGGAACTAAGGAGAGGAATAGTTTCACATACGTGACACCTAAGTGTTGGGGCCTCTGGGCACCATTTAAGTGGTACAAGATTCCCTGGGGTAAAGTGGCTATGGAGCTGAGATCATCCAGTTCTTATGCTGAAGCAAGCTGACTACTGCTGCTGCCATAAAACTGTTTACAAGGTTGTAAACACCTTTAGCCTGGTAATGTGGATTCTCGCTTCGCTTAGCCTAGAGCTGTTGGTATATCAGGCGCAGTGTTTCAGCGGACTTGCTACAGATAATGGTTTCACAAAATAATTGTCTTGGAGCAGTGTGTTACCACTTCAGGGTAATAGGTAGGATGGCCACAGTGTGCAGCTCTCTTGGTCTGCGGCTTCTGAGCATTTGCGATTGGGGGGAGGAAACAAGCCTTTTTCCAAGAGTAATAAAGTCCTGTGTTTCAGACCTTTGGTCTAATCCAGGTACGCTCTTCTAAAATGACTCCCTGTTAACTCTTGAGCCTGGAGTAGCCAAACAGGGTGCCCTCCAGATGCTGTTAAGACTACAAATCCCATCAGCCCCAGCAAGTGTGGCCCAAAGGTCAGAGATCATGAAAGCTGTAGCATAGTAGCATCTTGAGGACACTATGCTTTGGGCTAATGGCACTGCCACACATCTCTCACTTTTATTTGCCCTGCTTTCTTAATATTGCAAAACATTTTAAATTAACAAGGCGAAACACCATGGGCGTAGCCAGATTTATGTTTCAGGGGGGCAGAATTGAGCTACTTGTGTTGTAATTGGTCAGTTAAGTATTTTTATTTATTTACTTGATTTGAGGGGAAGCTGTCCCCTGGCTATGCCCTTGTAGAACACAGAACAGCAACAGTCACTTGATGTCAGAGGTTACCTGCAAGCCTGACTAGGCCCAGGGGGCCGTTTTAACCCAAACTGTGAAGAGGCAAAAGCGTTACTGTGAAGGAACGACTGGGAGCTTAAGCATACTTCCCATCCAGAGCTCGCTGGTGCAGCTCCTGGTGCTCTCAGCTCAAATAAGCTTGTGGGCACTCAGAGCGATCGCCCTGAAGTCTGTTTTGCAAGCTGTTTGCGTTTATTCTAGTGAGAGGCCAGTGACCTTGGAGAATCAACGCGAGGCAATTGTTGTTTGCTTCTTCCGGACCTGTGTCGCAATGGCAAAATTGCACCAGTTCATTCTTCAGTTATCTATTAAAATTAGACATGAGCTTGCAGTACACTAATCGATACAGAGAACATTGAGACAATGTGCTCTTGAGAAAGAAATGTTTACAGCTTATGTTGATGAGGTTGTTGTTGTTAAATTGCAACGTAATTCAGCAGTTGAGATTTCCTAACAGCCGTGGGTGCAATCCCACACACGTCTTTTCAGAAGTCCCTTTTCAGAAGTCCCTTTGGATCAAGTGGGTCTTTAGTGGGTGTCTGACTGCAGCCTTAATTAATTTTCTCAGTAGAACTCCTAGGACGTATCCCGGTTCCTAGGACATGTCCCAGTTCCCCAAGCTGGGATTTTGTAACCAGGGCAATAGTGTTTGTTGAAGCTATAGGCAGAGATGGGAGACCTCAGAGTGTCCAGGTTTGCTAAACTGCAGCTCCTGTCATCCCTGACAACCTATTGGGAGTTGGGATCCAGTGTTTTCTGCTGTGGGGGGATCTCTTTTAAGGAACATTGGGTGGTATTCTACTAAGAGAGACTCAGAGTTGACCCCTTGAGATTAATGAACGTGACTAAGTTAGGACCATTAATTTCAAGACGTCTTCTCTGAATAAAACTTTCAGCTGTGTGTCCAGCTTAAAGCAGCCTTTTATTGTAACCTGTGAGGCAGCCATAAATGCAAGCTGTTTAAGTTTGTCTTGACCTGATGTGCCCCCTTGGGTGAAACCCTCTTTATGTCAGGCCTTTAGACTCAAGTTTTATTTGGCTATACCTGACCGTTGAGGGTGTGGGTGGCTAGGATTGTTCTCTCCCAGTTGTCTTTTCCTCCTCCAAGGCTCAAGTTTCAAAAGGCTTTTATTCCTGGGATTAGGTTGTCATAACTTGGCAGGGACTCTCTGCTTGAGAACCTGGAGTGGGAGCTCTACTGAGTCATCCATCACAATAGGCTCTTCCCCACCACCCTTTTGCTAATTTTCACCACATGTCGTCCTCCCCTCTTGCTTTGTTTGCATACCAAATACACTCTACAGTGACTGCCACATAGAGACACACTCCCCCCTCCCATCCTTGGGCTTTTAGGCAGAAACACAAAACATACTTCTCTGGAGACCAAGGTAAGGAGCTGAAGTTATTAGCTAGCTTTCTCTTATTCCAGAGGCTAATAGCTCTGATAGGCCCAATGCAGTTCTTCAGAGAACGCAAATACATGTCTATGTATTCCAGAGTGGTCCCTCTACGCTCTAGCTGGGGTGGTGGGGAAGGAAAAAGATGTTAGGTAAAATCCCTATAAGTTGATGCTAGGAAGAAATCTCATGGCTGCTGTCAAGGAGCATCCAAGCCAAAAGAAACCCCTTCTGAATAATTTGGCATAAATAGAGATGGCAAACAGAAACTAACAATAGCTTTAACTTTCCGTACTCGCTGTAGCTGATGTTATAGTAGCATGGCTACAACCTTCTCCATGAAGCCTTCTCCATGAAGCAGATGAACAAACCAGCTAACTTAGCTGCTCCTGTGGTTTTAGCAGTTGCCGATAAGAGCAATTAGATGCATTTTCCCCCATGCTATTTTTATAGTCTATCTACGTAAGGCTTATACAAACTGCTTCCCTACTTTAGCTTAAGACCAAGCAATAAAGGAATTGCTTTTGCTCCATCCTAATTCATTGGCAGTGCCCCAGTCAACCTCAGTGCTTTCAGCTCAGCTTCTTTTGTCCCTGGAATCTGGATTCTCAGCAACTGTGACTTTTTGTGTTTCCTAGCTCTCCCATCTCTCTCTGCTTGTTTGCCAGCATCATTTATATGTATGATTCATCATTCCAGCCTCCTAGTCAATCAGAAGGACAGTAGAAGCCAACTCCAGACACAGGCACACTGTAAATTTAGGTTTGCACAATGAAAGTGGATTCAAGTGCTCAGGTGCAACAAAACCACTTTTTAAACAATATAAATATAGATATATAGATGTCTTTGGCAGTTAGGAAAGTGACAGGGAAATGCACTATAAAGTGTTGGATCAGAAGGATTTGTTTGCAAGCAAATTGAGATGAATGCTCAATAAACAGGTTGTCTGGAGGAGTCCACAGTTTTGCTAAGTTACTCCCCCCCCCCACACACACACATTAACACATGGACATGGTAACTAAGCTTCATTCCGCCCCCAGGTTAGTTTCCTGTGTTGACCTGTTGCACCTTCTACGACCTTTTGAGTCCCCTGGCCAGAACTGCCTCCATAAACAGATGACAAAGGTAAAGGGACCCCTGACCATTAGGTCCAGTCGTGACCGACTCTGGGGTTGCGGTACTCATCTTGCTTTATTGGCTGAGGGAGCCAGCGTACAGCTTCCGGGTCATGTGGCCAGCATGACTAAGCCACTTCTGGCGAACCAGAGCAGCACACGGAAACGCCATTTACCTTCCCGACGGAGCGGTACCTATTTATCTACTTGCACTTTGACGTGCTTTCGAACTGCTAGGTTGGCAGGAGCAGGGTCCGAGCAATGGGAGCTCACCCCGTCGCGGGGATTCGAACCGCCGACCTTCTGATTGGCAAGTCCTAGGCTCTGGTTTAACCCACAGCGCCACCCGCATCCCTTGTAAACAGATGACAAGCATTCTATAAAAAATAATACAAAATTTCCTTTACAGTGGGGAAAAAATGCGTATAAAATATTTAAAGAGGAACAATATGTACAGCTGTTTACATACCCTTGCTAAAAACCTGAAAGCCAAGTTGATTAGAGGACCTGGTGCAAGAAGAATATACGTCTCTAGGAGGTTCATCCCAAACCTTGCAGAACAGTGCAAATCAGTAGGATAATTTTATCGTCATATGCCTTTGCTTTTGTTGAAGAGAAATTCCAATATTTAGGAACAGATTCTGATCTGAGAAAATTCCAGGCAAAATGAGAAAGGGAGGAGTGGGGAGAGAAAAAAGAAAGATAGAATTAGGCACATGTTATTAGCTACTTCACTAAAACTTTTATGAGAATCTTGAGGTGCTGTAAGAAATAGAGGTAACAGGAAAAATAGAGAATGATTTTATCTACTCTGCAAGTCTCTTGCAGTGCACCAAGGTAATCATAAACAACGTCTACTCAGGAGTGAGTCCCAATGAGTACAGTAGGGCTTGCACCTAGGTAAGTGGCTAGAAGATGGCAGCCTCAAATGCTAAAATGGCTCTTGGGCAGTATTTCTCTCTCTCTCTTTTTGTAAAAGCATCTCTGAGACACCCAGGTGATAAATCTGTGTGCCTCCAGACTCCAGCTGCTAATGACCTAAATTGAGTTTCCACTCTGGAGGCACTTTATATTTATTACAATTCATCGTTGCTCAGACATCCAGAGAAGTCACTGCTGGATTATTTTCACCTTTCTAAAATATGCTGCACTTACAGAAGGTGGGGGAGGGGGAGGATTAAACACCCTAAGACTGTGGGAGCAAAGAATGCAAATGGGACTAAGTGGGCAAGGAAATCTACCTCCACTTCAAAGTGGAGGATTAAGGACTTCAGGGAACCGTTGTTGTCAGGGGTTCAGGAGCAGAGGCAAGGGCAAGGGAGGAAACAGAGAGCGAAGGGGAGGAGGCAGAAGAAAAGATGAGTGATGACGACGACCCGAGATCTCCGAGTCTTTCCAGTGAATCGGAGGATTCACAGAAAGGAGCACCAGTGGCCAGGGCAAGGGGGGAGTTTAGGGGGCCACCCCAGGAAGATAGAGCCAGAGGGGACTCAGAGGAGAGCAGTTGGAGATCGGGACCAGCGTCACCGCCAGAGAACAGGGAAGAGGAAGGGAGCCAGGGGGCAAGCGCTGGCAGCTCACAACAGGAGGGAGGGCACGAGTCAGGAGTGGCCACACCTCCATCTGGGAGCGAAGAGACGGTTAGACGGAAGGTGGAAGGTTGGGCGCGCGCGCCAAGTTCAAATGCACAGGAAGGCGGCGCAGTAGGCAGCCCGGAAAGGGAGCCAGGTCCTAAAGCCCGGCGCAAGGAGACAGGAGGGTCCGGGGGGTCAGCGTCAGAAGAATCCCGGAAGGAAGAGACCCAGGGGGGCAGAGGGACCCAGAGAAGAACAGTCAGGCGGAAAAGGTGGAGCAGGGCTAGGATATTAAGTTGGTGTACAAGGGGCGGAGATTCAGACGGAGCTTCGCCGATCTAGCTACTAGACGTAGAGTTGCACGCAGCAGCTTGAGAATGGAAACTGTAACTCAATAAAGACTTTTACTTAATGACCGTTGGCTAGCGTGATCCTCTGTGAGCTAGGATCGTGAAGCAACTCTGACAGTTGTGTACAACAGAGAAGCCTGCCCCAGAGACTCACTGTGTGTGCAATTGGCACGCTATCTGTTTCCTCTGGGAAGGGCTGAAGCTTGGTGGAAGAACATGTATCAAAGGCTGGATTGGTGGGTTGTGCTTTCTACAAAGAGGCTGTGGTCCCTTTAGAACCTACATATGCCAGCAGACAAGATGGTGCAAGATGTCCTTCTAAAGTGTACAATTGCATGCAAGGACATGTCCCCCTCTATAGGTTACCCTACTTTGTGGAAGGTATGAGCGTTCCTGCCTGTAAGGATGGCTGTGTCCTTGCCCATCCTTTCCTGCCCTTCTTTCATTGCAGGACTAAGAAAGGAAGCACAAGATACGTGGGAGAAGATGCAGAAGTTTCTGTCTCTTGCTGATGTGTGTTTCCTTTCCTCTCGTTGCTCGCAGGGAGAAGTAGGGCAGTCAAAACTCAATGCCTTTCCATCCTTGGAGGCGGCCAAGAAGGATTTTGAGAAGAAATTTCGGGATAAGACCAAGAACAGCTGGGGTGACCGGGAGAACTTTGTGGCTCACGATGGCAAGTACACCTTGATTGAGGTGCAACATGCAGATGATGAAGACGAGCAGGAGGTGACTGTGAAGGTACTGAGCCAAGGAATACACTGGGAGCAGACTGGCACGCTGGGGAGAGGCATAAGTCAGTGCAAAACAGCAGAAACAAACAAAGCCTAATTGCAAACAGTCTAGACTAATACATTTAAAATTAGGTTAGTTGATTTGTTGGCAGTGCAATCCGACTTGCAAGAGAGTCCTATTGAATTGAATGCAACTTCTCTGTAAGCATATCTAAGATTGCACGGTAAATCACTATGGTAAAATAAGTAACAGATTAATCAAACTAAAAAATAGTGGTCCAGTGCTTCTTTATCAGTCGTCCCAATACTTTGGCACACTGTGTCCAGAACACACTAAGCCCAGGAGTAGGTTTACTTCTTATTCATTACTGTCCATATGGTTTTTTGGTTGTTTCAGAACATATGGTGCTGTGGACTTTTTGAAATGAAAGCACAAAGTTCAGGGAAGAGACCTGGGATGTGTTTGGGAGAATCTGGTCCCTGTCCTTGCATACCCATACACACACCATAGCTTTGGCCCAAGGACCAGTGGGAGGCCTCATTTGGAGAGCCAGATGGTTGGTCCCTGGGCATTATAGCATCAGGCACCTCCTGTGGGCCGACCAGTAACTGAAGGAGTTCAGCATAGCATTAAGCATCTCTGCTTGCCTGATTGAATTATCTTCCCTTTCCTCTTTCTCACCCACTGTTCCAGTGGTTCCCCTGATGCCCACCAGACCCAGGGGTGCCGGGGGAGGGAAGGAGGTGGAAAGCCCCATTGCGCTAGCGAAAGTACTTGGGTGGGCTTCAACTGGTAGGACTACCTAGCTGAATCTGATGCTGAGAGTGCCAGATGAGTTCTGCTGGTGTGCCTGCACAGCCCCAACCGAGTCGCCATTCTGTCTCTGCCCCACACCATCAGTAAGCGGCAGCAATGCTGTCAGTAGCGGGGCAGAGCAGCAGCACCTGGTTAAGGCTGTGTGCGATCTTCGATCACCAATCCAGTCCTCACAAAGTTATCCTAGCAGCCTAATCACAGTCTATCTCCCAGTTATCAGTGATTTAGAGGACTCCTGCAGGTTTTCAAAGTCTGTGTGAGTTAGAGAACACGGACAAGCTCTTGTAGTGAACTGTGTCAGGGTTGGTGGAGTTAATGGAAGTTAGTTAGCATTTCCATGTGCTCAAGGGTGCTTGCTTAAGTCCTGTTATTTTGAAAGGTGCTATCAGGTGCTGTTGCGGTTGCTTGAGAGTAACCAGGCAGGACTCCGACCTGCATTTTACAGGCTTTATTTTGGTGCAAACTATTTACAGTGAAGAGCCCCAAAACTTATGTCTGGCTCAATTGCTAGCAGAATCAGGGAGTGGTCTTTTTTTGTACCTCCCCCAGCATAAAAGTTTTGTTACCCCCCAAACGTCTACGCCCCTCTCTGCATCTCAGACTACTGTGCAGAATGGGCGATGGCAAGGGCATGCTTCCCTCCTCTCCGGCTTGTTCAGGAGCGGTGTTAAGGCTCTTACTAGCATTCTCTGGTCCTTGCACCTCTTCCCCACTGGAGGTGGGGCTTTCCTCCTCCCTGGAAGAGGAACTGCTTCGCAAGATTTTCAGAGGCTCCCTGTAACACAACTGCCCTTCTATTTCTACCCCCTGTGCCGATGGCAGTTCCCTGACAGGTGTTCACTGCCAGGTAAAAGCTTGTGTGTCCTACTGTGAATCTAAGGGCGAAGTCCAGCCCCACTAGAAGAAGCTGATTTGTGTGTATATCCAGTCCCAGGTTGGTTCTTTCCTGTTTCCAAGGTGGACAGTGTAGATGGAGTGAAGCTATCCAAGCAGAGGATACGGCCCTGCACCTTGGACAAGCCTACTCAGGAGCTGGTCTCCCTCATCTTCAGCAACGACATGTTTAACGATGCCATGCAGACCATGAATTTAGGTAAAGGGTCAAGGGATCTTTTGATGGTGGGTTGGGTTGTTGTTGTTGTTTGCTTTGCCGCAGGTGGGAGAAGCACCCAATGGCTTCAAGTTACAAGAAAGGAGAGTCCGACTAAACATTCGAAAAACTTTCTGACTGTATGAGCTGTTTGGCAGTGGAACAGACTCCCATGAGAGACGGTGGACTCTCCTTCCTTGGAGGTTTTTAAGCAGAGGTTGGATGGCCACCTGTCATGGATACTTTAGCTGAGATTCCTGCATTGCAGGGTCTAGATGACCCTGGAGTCTCTCCCAACTCTATGATAGCTCCATCTTGCCTGCTCTTGGCATCAAACATACGTTATCTGTTTATTGTGGTTTGCTATCCATTTGGCTAATAGAGATACCTGGGATATATAGTTGTAACAACATCAAGCTAAACCAATTTGTGAGCGAAAACTTGGTTATGGGAAGGAGGGAGAGATGTTCAGGTCACCTGTATTGGTGAGATTTGATTCTTTGGTCCTTGGTCACAAATGAAGACCAACCTGGGAAGAGCAGAAAGTGGTTCAGTTATAGAGTGAAAAGGGGCATGAATTGAACTAAGTAGTGGCGTTCTGATCCAGGTGGTTTCAGCTACTGATTTGTAGGATTCTTGGAAGCCCACAGAGTTGTTACACTGATCTTCCAAACTTCCTCATGTCACCCTTTTTAATCCCCTTTCCTAGATGTGAAGAAGATGCCCCTGGGGAAACTGAGCAAGCAGCAAATTGCCAAAGGCTTTGAAGCTCTGGAGGCCATTGAGACAGCACTGCAGAAGCAGCCGCCTTCGCAGAAGCAGCTGGAGGAGCTCTCCTCTCGCTTCTACACCATCATCCCCCACAACTTTGGCCGGGCTCGGCCTCCGCCCATCAGCACTCAGGAGGTTGTCCAAGCCAAGAAGGACATGCTGCTGGTAAGGAGCTCTGAGTACTGGGCCAATCCCCCCGCCATTAGAGCAAGAGACATCTCTGTGCTGTGGAAGGCTCTGTCAAGAGTCTTGCATGCTCAGACTGTGAGACCAAGGTCTTGCCTACGTAGCAATGAAGTATCCTCGCTGCCACAAAAATTCTGTACTGCTACGCTTCCTGACCTGCTCTGACAGTCACAGGATCTGTCTGGGGCCCAAAGCTGCCCAATGACCCTGTCAAACGAGAAAAATGGTGTTTGGGTAATTGGCCAGAAATCTGTTTTAAATGTTTGAGAGGGAACTCCAGTGGCCATAGGTTCTGTTCACTCGGTCCCACGCTGTGTCTACTGCACAGTCTTTTTCTACCTGTGCTAAAAGATAGCAGACTAAATATTTTAATATTAAACATAATAATGGAAGCCCTTTATAGCAGTTCAATTTGCAGTGTTTAGTAAAGGTAAAAAGGTAAAGGACCCCTGTTGCTCTGTCCCAGCTACTGTCGTGTTTAGTACTATAGGAATGAGAGCTGAGACCACTACAAAAAGAAAGGAACGTCGGAATCTGCCTTTTACTGAGTCAGACCATGAATTCCATCTAGCAGCTGAGTACTGCTGACCCTGAATAACTGCAGCTCCCCAGGGTTTCAGATGGGAACATTCCCAACCCTACCTGGAGATCGAACCAGGGACCTTCTGCATGGAAAGCAGATGTTCTACCATTAACCCATAGCCTTACCTGCAAACAATGGAAACACAGTAGCTGCCTTATGCAAAGTCAGACCTTTTGTCCATGTAGCTCCATGTTGTCTACACTAATTGGCAGCAGCTCCCTGTGATGGACCATCTGCATGCAGCTGTTCTGCCAACAAGTTGCAGCCTTTCAAAACTGAAGGGTATAATCTTGAGAACTAACAAAACAAAAAGTCCAATAACTCTGGTCTAGTTATGATTTTGCACTATAAGCCCTCAGTACCCAAAATGGCTCCTTAGTGGGTGCAGCCTTCAGGGTTAATAATCGCTTCCACTCTTGAGTTCAAGAGTCTCTCTTTCTTGATTTCATTTCATTTGATACATTTCTATGTGGCTTTTCACTCACACAAATGACAAAGCAGCTCACAAACAATAAACAGCAATAACATAATAGAACATTGCAATTAAAACATAAATCATATAAAATAATTAACAAATCATCAGTAAAGCAATTAGAAATCATCTCTAAAACAACCACCTTCTATAAAACATTATTAACTCAAACAAAGCCAAACAGCACAACCACAAGTCATATTGTAAGATTCACAAAGCACTACAGTGTTCATAATCTACAAAACAATATTAACATTAGCAAACTAACAACAAAAACAAAGAAACACTATTGAATTCTCTCTCTCTCTCTCTCTCTCTCTCACACACACACACACACACACACACACACACACAACCACCCCCAATAGCAATATTGAAAACATATGAAAAACCTTAACCTTCCCCCCCCCCTTTGCTTTCAAGCTAGAGCAGCAATGAGATTTCCCTAGCTGAAATGGGCTACCAATAGCACAGTCCCAGATATGTTTACTTGGAAGTGTGGCTCACATAGGATGGCAGTGTAAGTGTCAAATGGCTCCTCCCACCATCAGTGTTTGTGAAGATTGTTTCCCTTTCCTGATAGGTACTGGCAGATATTGAACTTGCCCAGAGTATGCAGGCCCAGAAGAAGAAGGAAGAGGAAGAAGAGGAGGAAATGAAGGTGGAAGAGGTCCCACACCCAGTGGACAAGGACTATGGGCTCTTAAAGTGCGAACTCACCCTGGTAGACCCATCATCGGAGGATTATAAGGTAGGGTGACCCTACAGGAAGCTTGCCAGCCTGGTTGCTGTGGTACTGTAGGGTACTATGCATGTCCCTGTGTTGGAAGCCCAGGACCTCTGAAAAGTGGGGGCAGCATGCAGGGGGGAAATGTTGATTCTCTGCACTTTCCATTTTCCTCTGTCTGCCTCAGTGCTTTAATGATCACTTTCTTCCTCTGCTTCTCTCCTGCTCCCTGCAATTAGCTGATTGTAAACTACGTAGAGAAGACAGGCTGCACTTATCGGAAGCTTCAAGTCCTGAACATCTGGAAGGTGAACAGAGAGGGCGAGGTAAAGTCTACTAGCAGGGCCCCTTCCCTTCTGTTAACTGACTGTGTGTACTTCTGCCAGTTGCCTGAAATTAGCTTCTGTCTTTGAGCAAAACCACCCAGAGCATCTCACTTTGCAGCTGCCTCTGGCACCAGACAGAATAGACCTAGGAGCATAGCAACAAGGAAAGGCCCTGAATGGCGGTTCCTGGCTTATTCTCCTTTGGTTCCAGCAGTGCCAGGGTCCCTTGTGGAACATAGGAAGCTGCCTGAAATGGAGCCTTTGAGCTCAGAATTCCAGCACTGGCTGGCAGCGTCTCTCCTGGGTTTTAGGCAGTGGTCTCCATGGGACTTTTTACATGCAAAGCTTGGGCTCTCCTAATGAGCCTCAGCCCTTCCCCCATTGTGCTAGTCAGCACCCCTTGGCATCCGTTGGTCTGTATAGCAGCAGGGCCCATAATGAACCAAGAGATGCTTTTATGTAAAGAGCTACAGCCCTCTGTTAGTGGCTAGGTATCACTCACAGCACTGCCAGCCAAAGCAGACCGATGCTGTCTAGAGAACTTGTATGTTGTGGGGCAGTGCCCAAATGTTGTCAGTGGTGCTGGAGGTGCTCTTGGGATGGTGTGGAGAAAAGGCAGCTTTGGATTCCCAAGACCCAGAGTGGCTGCATGGGGGCAGAAGAGACCAGAAGCCCTCTAGTCCAGCTACAACCCCAAAGGAGGACTCTTTGCCTCTTAACACAGCATTGTCACTGTAGATCAGGGATGGGGAAACTCAGGTCAGGGGGAAGCGGGGGGACGTGACTCTCCAGGCCTCACTATCCGACCCCAATTTATGCGAGTTCAACCAGCAACTGAAGGAGAAAGCGTCTTCTTCACTTCCTTTTTCTGTAAAGGTGTCTCCTCTGGTAGGCGGTAGGTTGGTGTTGGGAGGGAGTGGGGAAGAGGACACGTTCTCACCAGTTCATGCTCCATAGGCGCCCTGCTACACATGGCTGACTAGTCACAGTTCAGTTTTGCGGTGTGTACAAGCCATGCTCAGCGCTCCCAACAGAAGGCTTATCTTGCTGCCCATAAGCATAAAATTGCACCCTTCACATGGAGGGAGAGCTCTGCTTGCTGAACTTCTTTTTCTATCCCCACCCCATTCTGCTAACAGGGCAACCGTTTCAAGGCTCACGGCCACCTGGAGAACAGGCGACTGCTTTGGCACGGCACCAACGTGGCTGTCATTGCAGCCATCCTGAAGAGTGGTCTACGCATCATGCCGCACTCCGGCGGGCGTGTGGGCAAGGGCCTCTACTTTGCATCGGAGAACAGTAAATCGGCAGGATACGGTGAGGCAACCAACACTCTGTGCTCCCTTTGGGCTGCAAGGGCTGCCTCCCCTCTTGTTCTTTCCACCGTTTTCTCAGTGGTTTGCTGCCTTTCTCTGCTGCTGCTGCTGCTTCTCTGGTCTTAAGAGTGGCAGGGCAGAAGGCAGGTTCATACAGATACCCCTGGTCCATGTTGACATGCTTTTAAAAGCTGCCACTGCTACTTTTCGCGTATATAGATACAGATATGAGAAAGAGAGGTAAAACTGAAAAGTGTGCATTTATATGCCTGTATTTAACTATTTCCATTAAGTGATCCTGGCTATGTCCATTCTGGCGCTTTCCACAAGCGCTTAGGTCTTTTGTAACCTTGTAAACTGGAAATGAACCTTAGAGGCTTCTAGCACCAGTTGGGTGAATGTACACCATGGTGGTCTTTGGCTTTCCTCTAGCAGAAAGCACATCGTCTTCCAGAAGCAGGGCATCCCATTTTTTTGCCAATCCATACTACTTGGATAGGACCACCCCAGCCCACTGAAAAAAGTGCTTTTGAAAGTTATGGGACAGTCCAGAACAGTATGGGATGTGGCGCAGCAGGCTGCTAGCAACTTTTATCCTGCTGAAGATCTAGGACGTGTGCATGTCTATTTGGACCAATGCAGAGTATTGGTGCACTAGCCATTCCTTCCTCATAGAAGTTGGAGACGTCCAAATTAGCAGCCCCAGTTTGAAAGAGCAACTTCTTTGCTTTCATCCTATGCCATTCAGGAGGATGAAACCTGTGGTTGCATTTTTGAAGAGGATATTGGCAATGCCATCTGAAAACAATACTATCCATGATGGGATCTGTCTGTCCTGTTCAGCAGAGATTATTATTATTTTTTGAAAGCTGGAATATGTTTGTGATATATTCATCCTCCTACTCTCCTAATCCCACTGGATTTGTGTGCCAATGTGAAGCAGAGCACAGGGAAGGATACGGTACAGTGTATGTGACTCGAGTAGGGTACCTGCTGTCCATCACTTTAACCACTGGGACCTCTTTTTCCTTCCTCCCCCCCCCCCAGTTGGCACCACCTCCAATAGGGTGGGTATTATGTTCCTGAACGAGGTGGCCCTTGGCAAAGAGCATCACATCACCCAGGATGACTGTTCGCTCCGCAAGCCCCCAGACGGTTATGACAGTGTCGTGGCCCGCGGGGTGACTGAGCCAGGTAAGCCTGAAGGTTGGAAAGAAACAGTTGTGATGTTTTGCAGCCTGTTAATCGTATGCTAACCTCCCTCTCGCTTTCTTTCTTTCTGGCTTGCTGTGCTATCCCCAGACCCTGCACAGGATAAAGAGATAATCCTGGATGGGAAAAAAGTGCTGGTATCCCAAGGAAAGCCTGTTCCTATGGCTAAGTACAAGAGCTCCTGCTTCTCCCAGAGCGAGTACCTGATCTACCAGGAGAGTCAGTGCCGCATTCGCTACCTTATTCAGCTCCGCTTCTGAGGCGTTTCTCGGTCGGCTCGCCTGCTGGGCCCCGCCTATGCAGCAAGGAGGTCCTCGTCTGCCTAGCACTGAACAGGCATGTGACTGTGATATGGCAGTCCGCAGTCGGACTGCCTTGGTGTAGCCAGCCATGTTTGTCAGCTCTTAGTGGTTCACTCAGGAATTCTGGGGTCCCAGCTGGGCTGAGGAAAGCAGAACCACTTTCCAAGTTCGTTTTAGGACTGTGTTAGGCTCCGTAATACAGATGAAAGTCTGACAAGGTGAAGACAACCAAATGCTGACAAGTGGCACCTCCTCCTTTCAGAGCACTTTAAGGCCTGTAAATAAAAGAATGTATGTTAAGCCACCTAATGTCTTTCCTTCCCTGTTACTGTCTACCTGGGCACATAGCTAATATCCATGTATATGGCCCACCCACTGTAGAAGTCAAGGTACACAGGGAGGCTAAATGAAGAAAAGGAATCTCTGAAGGCTGTGACTGGGTTCAAACGTCGCATGCTCAGACATGAACGCAGTTACACACCACTGCACTAAGTGTCCTAAACCAGGCGTGGCTAAACTTGGCCCTCCAGCTGTTTTGGGACTACAATTCCCATCATCCCTGACCACTGGTCCTGTTAGCTAGGGATGATGGGAGTTGTAGTCCCAAAACAGCTGGAGGGCCAAGTTTGGCCATGCCTGTGACCTAAACCCACTGTAGTCACATCTTCCGCTAAGTAATCCAGTAGAATTTGTATGATACGCTGCTGAGTCATACTGAAATGTTGTATTCCTTTGTGCGTTCCCTGAGGTAAATGGGTTGTCGTACATCTGGCAAAGTGCCACTGGGCGGGGGGAATATAGGGTGGGTTTTTGTTGTTGTTTCCTCCATGTGGTCAAGGAACTGCTACTGCATTTACTTTATTTAAAATATTTCAACCCACCTTTCGTCGCAATGCAATGCCGCACCGAGAAGCAATAATGAAAAATCCGAACAGGAAAATTAAAGGAGAGGATAAAACTCACCCCAGGAGCAGCAACAACAATAATAATCAAAATCCAGCCAGGCAATCAATCCCCTGTAAAAGGCCTGTTCGAATAGGTGGGTTTTCACTGTGCATAAGGGCAATAAAAGAGAATGTTTGCACCAGAGACTCTGCAGCCACTGTGCACTTTCTGTTTCCATTTGTCCTCGGGAAAACTTAAGGAAGATCTCCAGCTTGAATTTCTCTGTTGATTAAACTAAGGTGTGGTTTACTTATTTTTTATTAGCCTCATACATGGCATTGCTTGAGAATTCTAAGAAACAAACCAAAAAATCAGTTCACACATTCATCTTGATCCAAAATTGTGTCCAATGGTATCTTTTTCTTACTTTGGGGTTTTTGTTTTTAATTTAAATGCAATACATTAAAAAGTGAGCTTTTTGAAATAAAAACAGAGGGCATAGAGTATCACTATCTTAATTGTTAACAATTACAATTTTTAAGCTACTGTATTTGGTATAAATGAGATCTAAATTTCATTTTACTTGTCCATGGGAAGTCTACATCTTTCAGCAATCCATACTTATATAGAACCATACATTGATCTTTCCAAGGCAGCAATATCAGTCTTTTGGCCATAGTAAGGGCATTTATGTTGTCCAGTTGTCAAATTCCATATTGTATGTATGTAGTTCAAAATAGTATTGTCCTGACAATTTTAGCTTCTTTCATCATCATGTTTATATGATTCACTACTTCCCCCCAAACCCTAACCCTAACCCCAAACTATAATGTAAGTATAGGACATTATAAAAACATGTGTTTAAAAGAAGCATCATCTTTATTGCTTCTCCAACAAAATACTGTCTTATACAAAAGAAAATAATAATATTTGTGTAGAAAAGGATTATAATATCAGTCGTAATATAAGGTCCACTGACACAATTTGTTATAAAAGTTAAAATAATTATCCCATTGGTGAGGCAATATAGGAACCTCTCATTCTTTATTCCAGTCATTTCTTAATATCAAATTGACTTATTTATAATAAATATCTATAAAAAGTAATCATAGATTTTTTAGTTTTAACTAACTTAACCAGTTCTAGTATTTCAGGTGTCTCAAGCTGAAAATGCTGCTGGTCCAAACAAAGATGTTAACAAATGTAGCAGTAGATATTGCCAGTGGGTTACATCCAATAGCTGATGTTTATTTCATAACATGGCGTATGTTAAAAATTCATCTTCATTATCTATCAGTTGATCCAAAGTCAATATGCCCGCTTCAATCCAATTGTATCTGAACACAGATGAAAACCTGCTCTTTGATCTTGGGAACCATCATGAAAAATTTGGTTACAGGATTGTAAGAGGTGTGCCAATGTATACTGAACCAACAGCTTTCCATAATAATTAGTTGTACAGTGGTACCTCGGGTTAAGAACTTAATTCATTCTGGAGGTCTGTTTTTAACCTGAAACTGTTCTTAACCTGAAGCACCACTTTAGCTAATGGGGCCTCCCGCCAACCACTGCATGATTTCTGTTCTCATCCTGAAGCAAAGTTCTTAACCCGAGGTAATATTTCTGGGTTAGCGGAGTCTGTAACCTGAAGCGTATGTAACCCGAGGTACCACTGTATTTATATTCTTGGAGGATATGGGCATACGTGCACAAATGTTCTTAGGTGTCACACAGTCCTTAAATATTTTGTATGCACAAAATGGTACACACAACAGGCATACTTGAACACTTTGGAGAAAGAGCTTGAACTTTCCTGGCAATCTCTTCTGATTTGGGAGAATTGCTATCGTATTCCTGCATACACTTTTCTCAGGAAGGGAAAAAACACAGTATTAGAATGGAATGCCACCATGAGGCTTTTTCTAGTAACTGTCTTATGCAGGGGAAATGGATACATGTGTGTTTTCCAAGGATGGCCATAAACTCCTGGCCTTAGACTGAGGAGAGGAATTTGTGCCCCTCCAATCAATTCCTGACCATTGACCATACTGATTGGGGCTGATGGAAGTTGGAGTCTGGCCACATTTGAAATGTCACAGGTAGGTTCCTCGTCTCTGCCTTTAGATAGAATTATAGGGAAAGTATATGGCTTACTCTGAGCTTGGACAAGTTAAGCAAGTTGTCAGGGATTCTTTAGCTGTGACTCCTGCATTTCAGGGGGTTGGGCTAGATGACCCTCCGGGTCCCTTCCAACTCTACAATTGTAGAAGCTGGTGTAAGCCAAGATGAGGCTCACTGTACGCTTCTCCCAATTCTGCCTTTTTTTTTTAATAAAAAGGATGAATAGGTTTTATTTTTGCAAATGTCTGGGAGTCATAATCTCTCCTTATCTAATTATATATTTGTAGCTTCCATCACCATAGCATCACCGAGCCTCTCATGTATTTACAGAGGGAAATAACAATTATGGCTCTGTCTTTTTTACCCTCTGCATGCTCGAAGCCTGAAGCAGGAAATGCTAGATTACATTCTAGGGCTGCTTTTAATTTGTGTGAGTGAGTTTGTCCAAGATTGCTGAATGAAATCTCAGGCTGCATTCCCATCATGCATTTAAAGCACTCTTGATACCACCTTAAGCAGTCGTGGCTTCCCCCCAAAAGAATCCTGAGGGCTGTAGAAGGGTGTTGATAGTTGTTAGGAGAGCCCTAGTCCCTTCGAGAGTGTTTAACAATCCCTCTTCACAGGGAACTCTGGAAATTGCAGCTCTGTGAGGCAAATAAGGTTTCCTAACAGCTCTCAGTACCCTTAATGAACTACAGGTGCCAGGTTTTTTTAGGGGGCGCCATGGCTGTTTAAAGTGGTGCCATCGTGCTTTGAATGTATCACGTGAAAGTGGCCTCAGTCTTTAAGCTGGGCTCTTAACTTTGGTTCACAAAGTCTAGTCAAAGCTCATTGTAAGGAGCAGTCGGTGAACCTCTGAATCTGCCCCATTAGGAGTCAGTCCGTTGGTCCATATAACTCAGTATTGTCTTCTTTGATTTGGCAGCTGCTCTCTAAGGGTTGGGGCAAAATTATTTCCAAGCATCAGTCAGCTGGGAACATTTTTATCTGGAGCTGCTAAAGGACTAAATCAGGCACCTTGTGCCATACCCCACAAGTGTCCTGGCAAAACTGGGACATACTGTTTCTTCCCACGAGAGTTCATCAGTTTTGGGCGTCGGGATAATGTGTGATTTGCCCCCACCCAAGTGCTTTTTCTTTTTTATTGAATACATTTTTATTAATTTTAACATACAAATTATAAAACGCACCACACAAATTATTACAAATACACTTTTTTTGAACTTCCATCAGCACCTCTGATGATCTTCCGTCTTAACCTCTTTTTATGCATTACTTAATTTTATATTGTCTTTACCTCTCTTAACTTATCATCTCCCCTTTTCCAATATTTCCAACAATACTCCTCACAGAACTTCTTGCAAACCTACAAACATCGTCTGATCATCACAAATACTTTTCATATAGTTCGTAAATTTACTCCAGTTTTCTGTAAATTTCTGGTCCCGTCGGTTTCAAATCCTTCGTGTTAATTTGTCCCCCAAGTGCTTTTTCGGGGCTGCAATCTCTCATGATGCCCCCAAACACATGTTTTTGGGTGCCGTGAGAGCACACCCCTGAAAAAAACTGTGTCTTTTGGACTCTGTGATCTTGCACAGGAGTACACATGGGAAGGCGTTTATCCCAGTTCATCTACATTTTGTGTCTATCTGTTCTTTTTGATGAGGCAGCCATTTTGTTTTCTGCCACCACACTTCATGGGAGCCATTTTGCCCACAGCACATCCTCGAAAATCTAAATGTGCACATTGACCCAAAGATACTAGCAACCTCTGCTTTGAAAACTAAGGGTTGTAGTCACTGTAAGTCCTACTCAGAGCTGACATGACTAACTTGGGGCATTGGATTTCAATGGGCCTACTGACTAAAGCCTAGTTGAATGCAGCCCTCAGCTTGCCTTAAAACTCCCAGCTAGGCCTCCTCCTATGCCTTCAACAACCACGCAACATGCAGAAATTAGCCACTGCAGGGCATGGGAACCCACACGATCCCTTGCTGCTGCCACCCAATGAACCAGCTGTGGCAGGCAGAGAAGAAGAAGCAACTGAAGTTGTATCTTTAAGAGCACAGGCCTTAGCATGTTAAACAGCATGCTAAACTGAAAGGAGTTTGGGGTTATTTTTACTTATGCACCATAGCTGGATCTGTAGAAAGGAAGGATTGCAGTCATAATCCATTATCATTATATAACCAAGGAGAACAAAACTCAGGATGATGCCTTGACATGGGCTAAGCAGGTGACTTCCCTGAATGTTGCAGTAGCTCTGTCCTTCCTTAGTTTAGAAGGCATTACAGTTTGACCAGGCATAGATGTCGCAGAAGTCAGAGCTAAAATGACAGCGGCACTTCACTGATCGTGCGTTCTACAATCCACATCAATACCATGACATAACAAAGCTGCCCTTTGTCCCTTTGCAACAACAAGTAGTGTCTGACAACAGCAAGTAGTCACTTGCCATTAATTGTTCTGTTCCCTCAGAAACATGTCATCACTGATCAGTCAAAGCAACATTAGTGTACCAGAACAAAACCACAGCACTCCATTAGGTCAATCTGATATATGCACCTGTCTTCTGTTACCCAATAAAATTAGGATGGACAGTTCCCAGGATAGACTGAAGGACCGAGAGATTAAACTACCTAATTGCAAACAACAATTCTAAGGCAAACATGCTCTAGGAATCAAAGTTTGGGCATCAAACAAGCAGTTCTGTGTTCATATTCTAAAGCCTCACATTCACTGTGCAAAGCAATAACAATGCACCGTAGTTCTTCAATGCAAATGTTTGCTTTTGTTTTTTCAGAATTTTAAAATGCTTTGCAACAAGAAACATGAGAGTAGATTCTCCAGGAAGAGTACACACAGTATGCTGTGGCCCCTAGAGACTAGTTTAGCTTTAGTGACAGCCCACTTCAGCAAATATATGCAGTAGATTGAGAAGGGGCGTATGCATATAGTTGAGGCTCAATGGGGAGAGGATAAAAGATAACTGGAAAGCAAGGGACACTTGCCTGTGTTAATGTGAATAACAGTACACAGGATAAAAGAGCCAGTGTGGTGTAGTGGTTAAGAGCAGTAGTCTC